CTGATGTAGCTTTAAAAGTGAAACATTAAATTTATAAACATTTCCTTATTATACCTTATCCTATTATATATAGGCATATATTTCTGTGTGTTTGTATGAAAATAACTGAGCTGATGTTAAAATTTACATTGTTTATATCTATAGAAATATAATGGATAGAGAAGCAAAATTTGTAGTAAAAAAATTGAATTAAATATGGTGAAATTTGTAGTGAAAATTTAAACTAAAATGTTTGGAAATGAAATGCAGAAAAAAATTAGTCTGCTCTAATATGCATCTATCTTTTTAGAATTTCATGGAAACTAGCTACATTGACAGCCATCACAAAGAGCATCAACCTTACTTTGTGAACGAGTTGACACTAAAGTTAGTGTGTCCTTGAGAACTGTCTAAAATGTTAAGATCCTAGTAATGGGCAAAAGCATTCAGAAAAAGACAACCATGCATCAACACAAAACAGAACTGGGACTTCATTAATATAACCAAGTCCAAAATTGTAAAGAATCTAATAGCATCTATGCTATTGAGAAAAAATTGGACCCCAAGGCAGCATGAACAGTTGAACATGAAATAATAAGCTTTAATTCATAAAATAGTATGCCACAGTATATCTTCATGAAGATTATAAAAGCCAAGAGACTGGAAATATGGCACAAAGTGCTCAGGTACCTGAAGAATCATGTTAAAATATTCCCAGTGGGTGTTGTTTTAAGCTGTTGAAAGAACTGAAACCTTTAGGATTCAGCAATTGATATCAAGAGCACCTTCAGAACCACTTATCCAGCCCATGTCATGGTTTTAGGTATCATAGCTTCTGGTGATAAAAAGATGCCATTAGTCTTCTACAAACTGGAAAAAAATGTTGGCTATCAGTGCCCAATGTAAGGTCTGAATAGACCATGTTTTGTCATAGCTCAAGGTTAGTTATTCAGAGAGCAATTGTGTGTGTACTCAGGATAGTTCTCTCAGCCACACAGTCAAAAAAAAAAAAAGGCAGCTAGACCTGAAACTGCTACACTATGCTATATGGGATGTTTTGGAGCATGCCATCATCAAAATCTCCCAATCCAACATACCTTAAATATAAGTAAAAAAAAAAATGTTCTCTAGTCTATTGTTATTAAGATGAGTCACATACTGTCTGAATTCTTTTTCAGTTGATAAAAAAAGAATCAATGAAAATTCAAATTGGGTCATTTTGGTCACATTTAGTCTCAGAGACATGCAGTATGTTTCATCCTTTACTAAAGAAGAAACAATCATTAAATTAGATACTAATGATTTCCCTTGGTCATTGACTTGTAGACTTGCAGTCTATATTAATTGATATAACAGTAAATTGGCATTCAGAGTGCATGCAGTCAGTTAGGTTTTAGCATATGAGTGATTGACAATAACAAGCAAGATGGAACACACATGTGCTGGAAAGTCCTCCATTGACATTGTGTGAGATGTAAATATCCTATCTAAAGTATGAGTTATAATACATATGACTATACAAAGAATGCCAAGTTCAAATTTCAGTCAAGATTGTTACATTCACTTTCACACAAATAACCTCTTGAAAACTATGACTCGGTTTCTTCTCTTCCCACCTTTAAATAGCAGGACAGACTGGGACCTCTAGACTTGGTTGGTAACCAGTTTTGAAGGAGGAGAAACTGCAAATTCAAACTTTAGGAGGGCTGCTTGGAAACCTTGTGGTGCAATCTGCTGCTTTACATGGTATTTTTATTAAAAATCTAATAATGTCAGTCATCTGCCCAGTATTTGCAGATTATTGAAAAAATATAATAACAGGATTCAAAATCAAGAATCCATTATGGAACATGATTTCAGAAAACTATTTGTATCCACTCAGTGAAAAATATTTAAAAAAACAATGTGGTTTATAAGATGACTATCATGTTTGTAGACCTCCAAGACAAAATCTATATTGGTTCATTTCAAGCAGTGATGTTATGACCATGAAATGTTACAGACAATAAATATATAAAAATAGTATTGCCCTTGTGAAATATGTGTAGTATGTCACAAAAAAAGGACATCTTCTCTGTGATTTGAACATAATGAGAAAAAAAAATAGCAAATAATCAGGTTTAGGTGAATGTAAATTATGCCAGAAACCAAAACTACAAATTGAAACCTGAAGAAGTTTTCTTGGAGATGTTGTGGCACAATGTGCTTTATTAACTTTTATCAGTTCTTCTGAAAAGCATGTATGTCTGTTTAAGCACAGTACAAGATAGGCAGCTAGATCTTATAATTTCACTGTTGAAATTGCTAATTGTAATCTTAAGGTCTATGCTAATAGTTTCATTTTGCATACTTCTCATTTGTGAAACTCTCTTTTGACTTCTTTCTTTTCTGTCAGCCATGATCTTCCTAAATTTAGATGCAACATCAGTCATTATCATATGTCTCCTTGAATCTTGCTTTATAAGTGTCCTCTCCATTTCTTTTACTCTCTCACATCTTGATGGCTTTTATCACCTCGATTGGGTTGAAAATTTTACATATATATATACAAAATATTATTTTTGTTATAAGAGATTAGAACAAAAACATGTTAAAATCACTACACGATAGATTTTGTGTTTTGGCATTGTTGTGCCTCTTCAGGTGATGGTAAGTGACTGGAAATTTGTTCTTTCTCACATTTGGAGATATATATATGCATGCATACAATGTCAGATTTCATTATCTGAGTCAGTGCTTACATAAATGTAATATTGACTAAACAATGTTGGTAAAATTTTCAGTATATACTTAAATGATGAATATACAATAGGAATTTTAACTTAGTATATCAACTTTAAAAATATTTGGTTTAAGATTATGCAGCTCATTTTTGTTCATTTTGTAAATAAATATATGTAGTAATATAGTTATTGATATTTATTTATTAATCTAAGACATAAAAATTGCCATGGTTCCTATTGTAAAGTTATTCAATGAGGAGACACTAAATAAGAAGTTATGAAAAAGTCAAGGATTAATCATTAAACAATCAACAAGATATTGCAAACAACAGAAAAATAAAGAAAAACTGACTTTAATCATTTTACCCCAAAGCAGGGTAATAATGTCAGAGAGATGTAAGAGAATATAAGAAAAAGAAAACATTAAGAAGACAGAAGATAAAATTTTTGAAGATCAATGTTTACCAGAAAGCAAAGAGTCAGGAGAGAGTACCATCATCAAGAAGTGTGAGCGAAGAAATTGTTACCATGAAAATAATAATTGCAACTAACATTTTCAACTGTAAAATAATGAAACCTAGCTGTGAATTGAGTTATGCACTTAAATTCATAAAGTTCAGATACCCAAGAGGAAAGCTTATCAGAATAATTATCATGCAAATATTTATAGAAAAAGCACAAAAGATTTGAAAAATGTGAGAAAAAGAGAATTGAGAAAAAATGAAAATAATGAGCAAGAAAAGTGGATTAAGCATTAATAAAATATTTGAAAAAAACTAGTGTAAAGCAAATGTGAACAGAAACGATGAAGAATATGAAAAACACTGACTCAAGACATGAAGAAAGTCAAATTTATGACCTTTAAATAAGAAACACAGAAAGTTGGTTAAAGGATCATGTGAAAACTGACTTTTCAGCAGTAATTTTAGTGATGAACAGAGAGCTACATTTGATAGGTTGAGCAAGTGTTTGGATCTTGTCTCAAGAGTAAATCTGGCATTGTTGTCAAAGTTAAACTGGCCACTGCTCTTGAAAAGGACCTTCAATCAGTGGTTAACTGGAGCAGGAAATGGCTTGTAAGTTTTAATGCCTTGAAAACTAAACTGTTATCATTTAATCTCCACTGAGAAATTTCCCTGCCCACCATAAGCATGGTAGAGCATCTCACTGCAACTTCTTGGTCTTACGTTTTTGACTGACTTGAGGTGGAACAACTACATTGAATCTATAGCTGCATTTACAGCAAGGAAAGTTGGTTCTCTGTGTTGTGCCAGAAGGTTTTTCTCATCAGTGTCCATCTTACACATCTACAAATGTAAAATTCATCATTCGTCTGTGCATTGAATACTGTTGCCATATCTGGTCTGGTTCCCCTGCTATTCATCTTGAGCTTCTTGACAAAATCCAAAAAAAATGATCTGTAATGTAATGGATCCTAACCTGGCTTCTCAACTTTAGTTACTTTCTCACAAATGTGATGTGGCTTCTATCTTTTCTAGAAATATATTTGACAAACTTTTTTCCCTGGTGCCCTAACTACATTTATTTAGGCATGCTACTAGATTGGTATCTAGGTCCCACCCTTTTAATGTTGAAATAGTTAAATGTAACTGCCACTTCTCCTTCACCAGTTTCTTTTCTCACACTTCCTGATTGTGGAACTCCCTTCCTCTTATTTGCTTCCAATGATAACTATCATCTTTAAAAATTTAAATGTATTTTTATTATAAACCCCATTTATCTTTTATCCTTTCCTCAATCCCCCCTGTACCTTGTCTTTTCTCTCACTTTGACTCTCTGTAACCCCATGTGTGCTAGTGGCACTCCCACCTTGCTTAGGGTACAATGCTTTAAAAAATAAAAAAAAAAGAAAACATTTATATCATTATGAAGAAAGATAAATGAAAGTATAGAAAATGTATTCAAGTAAGAAGATAACTTGAAAAACAACAGATATTGCTGCAAGTAATGTTAATCAAGACATCACAAAAAATTAAGAAAATTGAATCACTGATTAATTGATTTTCTATGGCTTATCAACCCATTGCAGGTTATTTAAAGCCAGAAAATATTTTTATATTTTAAGAATATATTTTTTAAAATTTTTTTGAGATAATAATGATTTACTGGTACAAGTCCTACTAAATAACCCATAGCAGGGAGAAGAGGATGTGGATTCATACCTTTCCCAAGGATATTTGCATGTAAGTGTATATAACAAACTCAACTGGAATTGGGAGTCAGCTTTACAAGTTTCAGTTCCGTGTTGTTAACCATTAGACCACCCACACATCCAAGCTTACAGCACCTGGTATTCCCAAGTGATCAGCCATCAAGCTACTGTGCAAGCTTGATGTTGCTTAACTTCTGTGATTATATGGGAACCAGTTTCAACGTGATGTAGCTATAAGACTCCAATCACTGAGAAACATTGAAGTTGCTAGAATGTCAAAAGAGACCATATTAATATGTAAAATAGTTTATTCAGATATATGGGATATTGTGCTAATCAAATGTTTCTATGGCAAATATATTTGGTATTTATATATAAATAAAATTTTGTTTCCATACTAAAATCTGACAGACTCGAAGCAAGTTATCAAGAGTTTTACTAAGGATAGATATTATAAGCTCAAATTCACATGATATATTGTTCTATGCTGAAAATGCTGCCAACATTGCTTGCTTAAATGCCAATTTTATTGTAAAACCATTGGCTTGTATAATAAAATCTAAACTTGTGTGTGTGTGTCTATGTTACATGAATACAATGTCCAACCACTCTAAATGTATAATAAACTGAAATGTATTAGATAAAGATTTTACTGACCAACTCATTGAATGAAAATGTATTCCACAAAATAAAGGGTGAGTTCAAGGCAACATTGCGATTAGAAGGGTCAGAAATGTAATTTAAATTTTAGGGAAACAGAATACCTGAATAAAAGGAAATGTGCTAGAAGAAACATGATTTAGTTTAAGACACCATTTAATTTGTCAGTTAAAACAAAAATTGACAAAGGTTTTTTGAGATATTAGAAAATCATTTTCCTAAATAATCTGTTTTATATGAAATTTTTAAAAGTGATAGTCATATACCCAGTATTGGGAGACTATTGAAAAATATAACAGGATTCTAAATTGAGAATTTGCAAAATGAAAGTGGTTTAGAACAGCCACACTTCTAGATCTTTTTGTATTAATGCAGGCATCCCCCAGCATTCTATCTTTGGACCAATGTTGTTCCTAATTTTGAACAATGATCTTCCTGATTGTATCAGTTCTTAACTTGGTATCTATGCTGATGGCACAACTATTTACTCCTACTTAATAGTAGGTTTGATCGGCTTGTTCAAAATCCAAATTCAAATTGGCAGATGATCTTTCTGCCTTTCATTAGCATAGCTGATGCTAATTTCCAGGAGAATGACATTGTTGTGCCTTCTAAGGCTAACTTTTTAAGCTGACATAAAGTGGAAAGAAATGTTTGGTCTGATGCTAAGAAAGTTGGTTCACTGTGTCATGCTAGACAATTTTTCTTGCCAGAATTTATCCTATATATTTATAAGTCTACCATTCACCTTTGCTTTGAACATTGCTGCGACAGATGGTTTGGTGCTCCTGTTGTATATTTACGGATACTTGATAAAATCCAAAGAATCTGCAGTGTCATTGGTCCTGACATGGCATCTTGGCTTCAGTCCCTTTTTCAATACTGTTAATGTAGCTTCCCTATATCTTTTCTATAAATACATTCATGGTAATTGTTTTGATGAACTTTTCTCTCTAGCATCTAGAATTTATGAATTTAAGTGCATTACTACATTGACAGCAATGTCTCATCATTTTACAGATGAAATGGCTAGATGTAACTGTAAGTTCTATGCTAACAGTTCCTTCTATTCCACTTCTCAGTGTGGAACTCTCTTCCAGCTTCTTGCTTTCTAGTCAGCTTTGATCTTCAAAAGTTTACATGCAATATCATAAATTTCTGTTCTTTTATTGTTTTTGCTCCTTAATATTTTTCTTTTTCTTATATTTGTTCATACTAAGTAACCTTCTGTGGCTTTGTTGCCTTGCTTGGGGGTGAAATGATTAAAATAAGTGTAATTTTAGAAAAACCTATTTGTACCCTCTTAATAGAAACTACTTAAAAATAATATGATTCATAAGGTGACTGGTATTTTTGAAGGCCTAATTGGTGAATCCATATTGGTTCAATGGAGAGACTATTCAAGCAGTGTTGTTATGACTACAAAATATCAGTAGAGACATAATAAATATAAAAATAGTATTGTCCTTTCACAATATATGTAGGATGCCAATAAATAAAGACATCTCCCCTGTAATTGATGTGAAAATATTGAGAAACAAAAGCTACAAAGTGGAGTAAGATGAGTGTAAATTATGTCAGGGATAAAAGTAGCTATCACAGTTTAAAGAAGTGGGAAATAATGCACAGGCATCTACAGATTTTTTTTATTTTTATTTTTTATTACACTATTTTCACTCAATACAAGGTGTAAGTACCACTCAAGGTTGAGAGTTGCTGCATGGCGATGTTGTAAGGGCATATAGGAGGGAGCATGCATCACATATTATGAGGATATATAAGGTAGGGTTAGGGTTAAGCTATGACATTTGCTCAGCTGGTTCATTTGATGTTCAATCCCCGAGGCTGACTGTTGAATCCAACCCTTGCTTTGTTCCAAATTGTGTTTGATTTAAACCATAAGGCTGGTGAGGATCAAATTGTCAACAGGAATCATTGAATTGGTCTGGTCCAGACAAAGTAAATCCACAAGTCATTGGATAATTTGTAATAAAGAAAATGTTTTATATAATGTTTCTTGTACAGAGCTCATGGTACAATATCAGTTCTTCATGCAGGAATATATTTGTCATGCAAAGTTATTCAACCCTTTCCCTTTTGAATATTTGTGATACTTCATTCGTTGTGACTAAGTTTAGACCAGGTTTCTCATATGTAGCTCAGTCGGAGGTTTTCTTCAGTGTCAGGGCATCTTCTGAGTTTGGTGAAGTGGTTGTCTCTCACCTGGTGTCTGGCAGCTTCATTTCCAATCTTTTCAATTCTCTGTTTATATGAACCTCAGTCCAAAACTGGCATGAGTTGGTTTTTCGGCCATTTCCTTAATCTCCATAGGGAGTTCTTTGTTTGTTTGACTCTGGGAAATTAATTGCATGCCCAATTTTGGAGAGATTCCTCCTCCGAGGAGCAATGGTAGCAGAATATTGATCAACACCAACTCCTTTCTCATATTGGTGCCTCATAACAGTACTCCCCAAAGGGTGTAGGCAATTTCTCCACCTCACCTATGGTCACCTGATCAATCCAATCTCTAGACTGCATGGGCAAACAGGCGTGGTTTAGCTCCAATTATTAATTTTAATTAATGTTCAAAATTTTCCTCAGTGGAATTCCTCAACCTCTTCTGCTTTCTCAATCAGACATGCATCAGCTGTTCCCCTGACAGCCTCTTGTGGTACTTTGGCCCCTATCAAAAGAAATCTCATCTATTCAATGATTCACACTTTCCCTTCCCTTTTTGACAAGTGATAAAAAAAAAAAAACAATTCTTCAACACTGCCTTTGTTTCCAGAAAACCTTAAATATTATCTCTCAGCTGATTTTTCCTTACCAGGTTATGGTCTATAGACAATTCCATAACCTGGATTTTAAATAGTAATTATCAACAATGTCTCCATTTTGGTTCTTATCTAAAGAAATTTCATTGTTCCAGTGATTCACACTTTCCCTCTTCTTTTGACAAGTGATAAAAAGTACAATTCTCTAACTCTGAATTTCTTTTTTCCAGAACACCCTAAATATTATCTCATGACCAATTTTTTTTTCCTCTGGGTTATGGCCTGCAGACAATTCCTTAACATGGATTTTAAAAACAATAATGTCTTCATTTCATAGTCAGTTGTCAACTTCAGCCATATGGTTATTTGTAGGAAAATCAGCTATTTCTGTCCTTCCCCTCTATCTTTATCCAAGGAAGGAAAAAAAATAAACCTTCTGAATGTAAAAAATCTTGCCTCATCTCTTGGTATGGCTATCAAGCTACCCCTATAATTCTTAAGGAGTCACATCTCTTTCGGTATAGCTATCAAGCTATTCCTCCAAACCTTAAGATATCACAAACCCTTGACTTGAGATTAAGAATGATGCAGGTGCAGATAATTACCATATTTGGAGGCCTACTAAATTTGACCTGATCTTGATTCTGATTTTCTTTTTTGACAACACAGTGTACAATTTTTTTTTATTTGGTCTTCTCCTTTGTCACTGCAATTTAACAAAAAAAAATTTTTTTTTCAAATTATCCAAATATTTCCTTCCATCTCATGCAAAGGTATTAAAGCTGGAACTGAACACATGAATTGTAAATTTCAAGATGTTGGGATGGATTACAATAAGCAATGTTTTAAGAAAAAAAATCGGTTTCATAACAAATGTCTTAAATGTCAGTAAATATTAGCTTTTACAAATTTGTGATTTGAAGTGAAAGAAGACATTCCAAAATTTATATATTCTTAGCAATAATCAGCTTATTAAATGCAGTGGAAATTGCATAAGATTACTTTTAATATTTCTATTCACTTAGTTCTCCCTTCTACACACTGGTCCACAAATAGTGGATGTGTGGGTGGTGTAATAGATGGCTGCTTAGAAATATCCAAGAGCAATTTTTGAATTTTATTACATTACATTGCACAAATATCCTTGGGAAAGGTATGAATCTCTCTTCCCCCTTCTATGGGTTAAATAGTAAGACATATATCTGGAAAAATCATTGATATTTTCAAAAATATCCCCTTGCAAAAAAGAATTATACTTAAAATCCCAAATATGTTTTGGCTTTAAATACACAAATGGTTGATAATCTGTTTAAAAAAAAAAAAAAATTCAAAAAATCAATTAACCATTTTAAAAGTAACTACACTAATCTTTTCATTGTAATTATGTAAATCTGAACTGGACTAAACAATGTAATTTATTTCCTCTCTCAGCCTCTTCATCTTTATACAAGGTGCTCCAAACTTCATGGAGTTTTACATTTATGATGGTAACCTCATAAATGTTACATATTTACAACAAAAATTATGTTTACTGTAAAAGTTCCCAAAACACATTTTTCATGTAAACTTTGGAAGGTTTGAGTAATCCTTGACAGTTGTTGTAGTAAAGAAGAGAAAAAAAAACTGTAAACTTATAGTAGCAATAAATGCCTGCAATAGGTTTTTCTGTCTTTTGTCTGCAACACTTGTAGCCAAATCACAGTTCAAACAATTGTCCATTGTAGCAGTCCAACAAGCAATGTAGAAATGACAAAATGGGTCACAAATCCAACCTTCACTTCTCA